GGCATTCACCATGGCTCTATCACAAACCAGGTCCATGCTCTGGAGCCTGTTTTCCCGTCTTTAAAATGGAAAATAGTCCCAACCTCATAAAGACTGTGAGGATTAAATGACATGACATTGCAAAAAGCCTGGTGCACTCAGTTGCCGGGCTGCCGTAACAAAGCACCACAGGCTGGGTGACTGAAGTCCAAAATCGAAGTGTCCCAGAGTTGTACCTTGTGAGGCCTCTCTTCTTGGTTGTCCCTGTGTGTGTCTATGTCCTAATCTCCTGTTCTTATAAGGACACCAATCATGTGGTATCGAGGCCCACTTATGTGACCTTGTCTTGACTTGATCACCTCTTTCAAGGCCCTGTCTCCAAACACAGTCACATTCTGAAGCACTGGAGGTTAGGACTTCAACATAAAAATTTGGGGGGCATGATTCAGCCAGTAAAGCCTAATGTATACTTGCACACAGGAGATGATCAATAAACAGTGGTTACTTACTACGGAAGTTGTTCCTAGCTACCCCAGGCAGGGAAGGCTCCATAAAGAACCAAAGAAAGAAACAAGGGTGAGCTCCCTAGAGAAAGTCAGGGTAGGGAGGGCCTCAGGTGAGCAGGCATAACGACATCGATGCCTGAAGCAACACGGCACCCATGAAACAGCAGAGTCATGTGAGGGGTTTGTGCCTTAGATGGGCAGACACCAACAGACTGAGCCGGGGGGAGTGACACTGCAGACATATCCATTAGAAGAGCCACCAGCAGGCAGGGTGGGATGAATTACAGTGATGAGGATAGAAGGGGGGGCTCAGAGGAGGATCATTGCAATGGTGTTGGCATTCAGGAAAGAGCTTGAATCCAAGAGCCAGAACCAGTTGAAGAAACACAAGAAACAGCTCAGGGCTCAGTCAGGCAGCATGAGCCACCCCCGTAAGCTGGGGGCTGAGCACTCCAGAGACCTGTCTACACTACTTTACTTTCTAAACTCCCTGCCACACTCCCTGCCAGAGCCAGGACCAACCCCTTGGCTGTGTAGACATAAACGATATCTATGAGTGACCCTCCCATTGCCAAACTTCAGTGCCCCTTCCCTCTTGGAATTCCTGTCTCGTGTGACCTTTCCCACAAGGAACCAGAACTGGCTTTATGAACAATAGAATATGACAAAAGTGGTCATTTGACTTCCAGGGCTATATAATAAAGGTATTATAGCCTCCAACTCAGCCTCTTCAATTGTCATTCTGGGGAGGCCAACTGCTGTGCTGTGAGGCCATTCACACAGCCCTATTGCAAGACCCATATGAAGAGCAACCACCTGCCAGTCACCTGAGAGGGCCTCCTTGGAAATGGCATCTCCACCCATCAGGCCTGTGGATGACACCGCCCCAACTGACATCTGACTATACCCTCATGAGACCCCAGCCAGAATCGCCCAAGGAAGCCACTCTCAAATTCACAAGTCAGCATCCCTGCAGGAAGTCCTAGGTGAGGTGACCACCACAGCTCTGAGACTCTACGTTAGGGCCGGTTTGTTATGCAGCATTAGATCACTGTTAGGTTGAACTGTGTCCCCCCATATTCTTATGTTGAAGTCCTATCCCTACCACCCACGTGCCTCAGAGCATGATCATATTTGAAAATAGGATTGTTGCAGATATAATCAGTTAAGTCAAGGGGAGGTCATGCTAGAGTAGGACAGATCCTTAACCCAGTGACTTGTGTCCTTGTGTTCGGGCATAGATACAGACACCTACAGGAATGATGCTATGTGGGCATGAAAGCGGATATGGGGTGATGCTTCTACTAGTCAAGAAACACCAAGGATTGCCAACAACTCTCTGAAGTTTAGGGAAGAGCCTGGAACCAGTCTAGGACTAGCGGCTGACACCTGATCTCAGACTTCTGGCCTCCAAAACTATAAGGCAATTTCTATTGTTTGACCAGCCCAGTGTGATATTTTGTTACAACAGCCCCAGGACACCAATACTATAATTAATATCCATTCTGAGGTGATGTACAACCTTCTCAAACATATAGAGGCCCTGGGCAGAACCGTCTGTTACTTAAAGAGAGAGATTCAAATTCACTATATTATCACGTCTATGTAGAACTGAGAACTTTTTATCCATCGTCCCCTTTAATGCTCACAACACTATACATGGTAAGAACAAGTATGCCCCTGGTTACAGATAAGGAAACTGAAGCCCTGAGAGGCCCCATTACTTGAACCAAATGACATTGATAAAAAGCAGTGGAGGGCCAGCAGGTGTCATGGTGGTTGAGCCACTGGATTCCCACATGGGCACGGTCCAAGTCCCAGACTAGGCAGCTTGAAAATCACAACAAATAAATACATAAATAAATGTTTGAAAAGAAAAAGAAGAAATGGAAACAGAATTCAAACTTGGATTTCAAAGCCTGACAATAGATGCATCCCTAACATCAGACGAGAGACCCAGAGAACAAGGCCCACCCCACCAGAAGCTGCAGCCCACCTTTTCCATGTTGTCCCAGTTAGTGATGGTGGCCCGAGAGATGGGGTGTTGCAAGTTGAGCTTCCATCGCTTTTCCTGAGCCTCACCTCCAATGAACCAGTCTTCCTTCTCCATTCCTTCCAACACAGTCTGTGAAACACAGGCCAGGACAGATCAGCTTTTCCATGCTGGGGGCTGGACTCACCTGCACTTGGCTTTCATTTGCTGACTACAATGAGCAGTGATGGGGAGGCCTTTGGGGAGGACCTGTTGGGAGAGTGTCCCGACCCGGGCGGACTGCCGAACCGGTTTCCTGAGTGAAGGAGTGAGAGCCGGGACAAGCGGCTTAGTGTTACAGCACAGAGACGACACAGTGTCTTCAGTGTCATCCGTCTATTGTGGGCAGCACGGTACAGCACGGAGACGCTACAGTGTTACAACTCTTAAGGGTCGCGTCGTCTATTGGAGATGACGTAGTGTCACAGCTCTTCAGGCTAGTCTGGAGACGATGTAGTGTTACAACTCTTCAGGGTCTTCAAGGTCTCTGGAAACTGCGCGGTGTTTCAGCTCTTTAGGCTCTCCTGGTGGTCGTCTGGCTACTGGGGGCCAGGCATCGTGGTTATATACACGCTGGTGGATTATAAACGGTGGGTCGTGATTGGTTGTAAACGGTGGGCCGTGATTGGTTGCAAACGGTGGGCCGTGACTGGTTGTAAACAGTGCGCTGTGATTGGTTGTAAATGGTGAGTTATGATTGGTTGCTTTTGGACCAATCATGAGGTGCCGGATATGCAAATCTGAGAGATTCTAGTGGCCAATCAGAGCAAGGTTTCGAAGGTCAGGTTTTTTTAAGGTAACCAATCATGGCAATTGTTTGCTCTCTGAGAAACCTGGGCAGACTCGCTGGTGCGCAGCCTCCCAAGGAGAGTCTCCAAGTCATAGTGTTGGCATCTGTGACCTTCTCAAACCATGTGCGCTATTTCGGAAATGGTCACAAAGAGGTTTTAGCAAATTACCTGAGAGATAAAATGCTCCTGAGGAATCTTTGCTGGGACACTCATCTTGCCTGTTTGTAGATGAGAAAACTGGGATCAATAAAAGAAGCGGTTGAGGAAGGAAAGGTGTGAGGGAGAGGCGCCATCTTCCACTTTTGCTTTAGAAGGTTGACCAGAAAAGGGTCTGCGATGCAATTCAGTTTCTGTTATTTTTTTTTGGAAGATGAACCTAGCTACTCTCATGGCAGATTAAACTTTTCATCCCATCATTCTGAGGGGATTTACCAGTTGGCCATGGTGTTGATCTGGGCCCACTGAAAGCAGACACTACGACAAGATGAAAGGTGCAAGGATTTTATTAGGTTACACACCTGCATGAGAGAACATGAGATGGGAGTCAGTTAAGGGTAGGAGAGACACCAGACTGTCGTTCAAGTCTGGATCTGGGTGCAGGAGAGAAGGGACCACCATGCAGTCTCAGGAAGCTTTGGCAAGGTCACTGGGGAGCTCTTGAGCCAAGCTCATTCACCAGAGGCATTCTAGGTCTCCCCGAATGGGCCTGTCTTCGTGTCCCTGCCATGCTAAGTTGTTGACTTGGAGCAGCCTGTGTGTAGCATGGCCTTATGCAACAGTTCCATGGTGCAATGAAGCAGTGGTACAATAGTGCAGTGGTACTGAGGTACAGCAGTGCCACAGTGCAGCAGTACGATGATGTGGTGATGCAATGGTACGATGCTGCAGTAATGCTGCTGCAATGGTGCAGCAGTGCAGTGGTGCAGTGGTGTCACAGTGCAATGATGCAGTGATACAGTACAGAAATGATGCATGCCACAATAGTGTCATAATGAGATGACACAGTGGTTTAGTGGTACTACTGTGCGAAAGTGCCATGCTGTGCTGGTGCACTGGCACAGGGTGCAAGGGTGCAATAGCACATATAGTGGTGCGCTGTGCACTGATGCAGCAGTGCAGTGATGTTATCACTTGCTGAGTGAAGCTAGTCAGGGCCTGTTGGGAGGGCCTGCAAGTCACAGTGCTGGCATCTGTGGATTTTGAGCAAGTGGATTTTGAGCAAGACCCACTTTCAAAGCTTCCACATCTCACCTGCCCAGAACTTGTTTTTCCTATTTTTAAAATTTATTATTATTATTTATACATTTAATCACTATACATAATTTAGCTTGTAAAGAGACTTTACCCAATATGAAACACACCTCAGAGCAGTCCAGTTGAGAATACTGGACACGTTATCATCAACAGGTAATAAACCATTGCTATGTCCCACAAATGTCTTATCTCTCTATTGTTTCTCCCTAATTTCCTTCCCTACGCTTACTTACCCTATCCCCTAACCTTAAACCTCACCCCTCCCCCCCCCCCCTTCCACACTGTCTCCAGTGTCCATAACTATTTTCTGTGCTTTTATGTCCTCCAATATTTCAGTCTCTACCATAGAGTGTGGACAGCCAGCATATATTAAGTGGAGACATACAATGTCTCTTTTTCTCAATGGTTTGAGAAGGTCACAGATGCCAGCACTGTGACTTGCAGGCCTTCCCAACAGGCCCTGACTTGCTTCACTCAGCAATAAACTTTCCATATTTGTTGACTTTCTGGCAAATGCCAGGGTCTTGTTGGTTTTTATGGCTGAATAGTATTCCATAGAGTATGTGTGCCACACTTTTTCAATCCATTCATTTGTGGACATTTGGGTTGGTTCCATGTCTTAGCAATCATTAATAATGTTGCAATAAACAATGATGTGCAAGCACTTTTCCCGAGTATTCTTCTACCCTTTGGGTAGATACCCAGGAGAAGAATTACTGGATCATATGGTAGTTCTATTTGTGGAACCTCCTTATTGTTTTCCACAGTGGCTGGACCAATTTACATTCCCAATAGTGTAGGAGAGTTCTCCTTTCACCACTTCCCCACAAGCACTTATCATTTTTATTTTTTTAATCTTCGCCATTCTAACTGGGGCTAGGTGCTATCTCATTGTAGTTTTGAGCTTCATCTCCCTTATGATGAGGGATGTTGAGCATTTTTTCATACGATTTTTGCCTGTTCATATGTCTTCCTTTGAGAGGTGTTTATTCATCTCATTTTTTCCATCTTTTAACTGGGTTGATCATTTTTTTTCTCAAGCCACTTGAGTTTCCTGTATATTCTGGCTATCAGTCCTTTGTCTGAGGCATAGTTTACAAAAATATCCTCCCATTCCAAGAGTTGTTAATTCAAACTAATCACTGTGTCTTTTGCTGTGCAAAAACTTCTTCATGTGATGTAATCCCATTTGTGTAGTTTTGGGATTATTGCCTTGCTTTGGGGGTCTTACTTAAGAAGTCTTTGCCTACTCCAAAGTCTCCCAGAGTTTCCCCAGTGTTTTCCACCAATAGTTTTACAGTTTGAGGTCTTAAGTTTAGATCTTTGATTCACTTTGTGTTAGTTTTCGTTAATGGTGAGAGATAGGGGTCCAGGTTCACCTTTCTGCCTGTTTTTCCAGCACCATTTGCTAAAGAGATTTTCCTTTTCCTATTGGATTGACTGGATTTTTCGGAAAAATCAGTTGGCTGTATGTTCGGGAATTTATTTCTGGGGGTCTCTATTCTGTCCCATTGGTGCACATATCTGTTTTTGTGCCAATATCATGCTGTTTATTATCACCACTTCGTAATAAATTTTGGGGGTCAAGGAGTGAGGTGCTGCCTACTCCACTCTTCTTGTGTAGGATTGCTTTGGCAATAAGGGATCACCTGCCTAGAACTTTCACATCTCAGGAATTTGTCTTTTGGGCAGAAGGATTGAACATGGAGTGAGAATTACTAGCTATGAAACCATGGGCAAGGTGCTTGCCTTCCCTGAGCCTCCAAGTCCTTCTCTACAGAATGTGAGCAATAGCGTCTATTTCTTCTACCTTGCCACAGTGCTCCTGGGAATCCAGTCAGATAACACCACCGATAGGAATGATGGGAAAGCATTTTATAAATTGAAAGGACATAATGATATGGAGGATTGTCAATGTGGCTGCCTCCGCCAACATTTTTTTTTCAGTTGACCCATGTGTAAGTGTGTGCAGGTGGGAGGAAAAAAGACAATATGAGGGCATAGACGAGTCACCCTATCCAGGTCGGAAGTTGTTTGAGAGAATGAGATGGACCATTTTCAGTGTTGCCAAGAGGCCTGAGGGCCAGAGTGGCTGCTCTGCTTACAACGGACCAGGGGACTTGGGTACAGACTTTTTCTTGCCTCTCTGTTCCCATGAGTGGCCTCATTGCCATCTTGGCTGCTAGACCAAAAGCCCTGGTGAGAGTGGGCATGGAGAAGCCAAGGAATGCCCTGGATGACCATGCCTGTGCAGCTTTGACTTGGGAAGTTCAGAAAGGGCACGACATCAAGTGTGTGGGAGGAGGCCATGGAGCTAGAGTCTAGAATGAGATGCGGGGGCTCATGCAAGATTCAGACCCCTCTTAGAGACACAAATTTGCTTCTCATTACCTAGAGACTAGCCCCCAAACCTAGGAGGCTGGCAGGCAGCAAGTCTCATGGAAAATCAAACCAAACTGAGAACCCAGTCCGCTGAGGTTCAGGAAGATAATTTACTGATCTGCTCATTCATCTTGGTCACTCGATTCTATTTCGGTACAGAATCTGACTCCTCTCTTGCTGCGATCCTGGGTTTCACCACTTAGGTAACCTATTTTGTTCTCTCTTCTGGTTCTATTGTGCCATTCATTGTATGGCTGGCAGTGTTTTTATTTTCTTCCCCCCCTCACCCCCATGGCTATGGAATGTTTTTATTATGCAACGAACAATAAATTTTTTTTGAATTATATTATTTAACTTTATTTATTCATTTATTTATTTCAATTTGACCAGAGAGGGACAGACTGAAAGAGAGAAAAAGGGAAAGTGAGAAAGCAAGCTTCTGGATCTGGGACTTGAACTGTGGTTGGCCATGTGGGAGTCCAGCACCCTTAACCACCATGCCACCTGCAGACCCTACCAACAACAACTTATGATACTGCAAGGCAGTAGAAGATATGCCACATTTCAAATGGAAGAATTGAATACAGGGAGTTAGTTACATGGGATGGGGAGTTTGGAAGAGAAAATGTGACTTGCTGAGCAAGCCAGAGAGTAGAATCACAAAACCTAGCCTTCTCCACGCTGGGGCTGAGGAACAGTCTGAGGGGGGCTGGAGAACAGAAAGCTCAAAAGAGGGGGCCCGCAGAGCTGTCTGAGCAGATGGTGCTGGAGGGTGTAGAGGGGCTTCAGTCTACAGACAATTGCTGCTGCTGCTGCTGCTGCTAGAGGAATTCGGGAAAGGGCAGGAATATGGGAAGGGAGTCCCTGATGTCTCTGGTTTGAAAAAAAATCTGTTTGAAACATCTCACAGTTGATAAGGGAGTCCGGGAATCATCAATTACAGATTCCCAGCCCTAGCATCACAAAGCAGAGCAGGAGGGTGTAGGGTAAAGATGGAGCTGATGGATGATAGACAGAAACCAGAAGCAGTGGCCAAATGACTACAAAGAGCTATGTCCAAATCCTACCCCCAGGACCTGAGCTTCTTTGCATAAAGATTCTTTGCAGATATAATTCAGCTGAAGATATCTAGAAGAGACCATTCTGGTGTTAGGGTGGGCCTAACACTTGTCCGGTGACAAGTGTCCTTGTAAGAAGAAAGCAGAGGGAGATTTGAGAAGAGAGAAAAAGAGAAGGTCTTGTGAAGATGGAGGTAGAGACAGGAGTGATGCAACCATAAGCTGAGGAATACCTGGAGCCCCTGGAGCTGGAAGAGGCAGGAAGCTTTTGGAGGGAAGTTGGCCCTGCTGACACCTGGATTTCAGATTTCTGGTCTCCAGCACTCTGAGGGAACAAATGTCTGTTCCTTTAATCCAGCCATACCACACCAACTCTGATGATAAGGGCAAGTGCAAGCCCCAGCTGCCCCTATTCTATTTGTTCTCACTCCCCCTCTCCAAACTCCTGTAAGAAACACAGTGAAGACAAGATGGGAGTGGTGCAAAGTTAACCTGTTGCCGTCCTATCTGGGCTGCTCAGGAATCATTAACAGAGTATTGGGCAGGGCCAGCAAGTGGTGTGGTGGTTATGGCGCCACACACCATTCCCATATGGCTGACTCCAGTTTGAGTTCAGTACCTAGAGACTTGAAAATCATGCCGGGTGTATCATGCATGCCCAAAATCCCAGGAGAAGAATGGAGAAGGAATTGTGGCATGGCCATTCCCCCAGGGGGTGATTTCTCACTTTCTAGCTCTCTGGCCAGCACATTGTGCCCTATGGCAAAAAAAAAAAAACTTAAAAGGAAAGAAAAAGTGGGCAAAAGAGTTGGTAACAGGAGAGGAGCAAATGCTTTGGTTCTGCAACTCAGGTGGAGTGGGAACAGGACAAACGGCCAGCCATCAGGGCCTGGAGCTGAGCTCCTGCTTCTGGGAGACCTTTGGGGAAGTGGGGAGAGCTGGCAGAAAAAGCATTCACTGTCTCTGAAGGCACCGCCTTGAAGCAGTGTTGGGTAAAGCTCAGTAAGTTGTGAGCGGGGAGGGGCTTGGAGAGAAGCCAAGACACTCCTGGACAAAACACGTCCCCTCTCAGCTGAGATGCAGTAAGTGGATTAAGCCAGTCTCTCCATCTTTTCTTATCTTCTGCTTTCACACTGCTCCTGGACTCAGAACCTCCATGAGACTCAAGAGAGCAGCCATCACTAGCAACAAAGGCTTTATTTTAGGAGCTTTGGGCGGCTCTTCCGGGAAACCCAATGGCTCAATTTCAGCTTAAACTGTGAACTCACTGAACTGGTTCCCTGTGCATGGCTTGGGCCCATCTCCGAGTCTGCCTCCTCCCAGGCCTTGGTCCTGCTTCATTCTGGCTCCAGATGAGAGCCCCAGGGTAGGCTCTAAATGGCCTGACTAAAGGAGGTAGTGAGGCCCCAGGATGGGGGAGTGGGTGACATTCAAGGGGAGGGCACCTGTCATGTGCTGGAGCTCACACAGGGAAAACCAATATCTTTTATACCTTGAGAGCTTGCCTTCTGTTAGTGCCCAAAGCTGCATTGTGACCCCTAAAAGTCCTGTGTTGAAGCCCTAACCCCCAGTACTTAGGATGCAACTATATTATGAGATAAGACCTTCACAGAAGTAATTAAGCTAAATAAGGTCATTGGGGTGGGCCCTAATCCAATCTGACTGAGATACTTACAAGAGGAGATCGGGACACAGACACACACAGGGGGCTTTGTGTGATCATGAAGGGCACAGTGGGCAAAAGCCAGAGGCAGCACCCCCATCACTCACGTCATGTCGAAGTTTCCCGAGGATGGTTGGGAACACTGCCAGAGGGGATTCCTTTCCTGCAAACCCCACCTTGCTGAAGCCAGAGCCATAGTCACAGATGAGAGGCACGTTGTCCATTGCGTGGCGTGTGACCTGGATGAGGCTGTGGGGAGAGACCACACAGTTATTGGTGCCACTTGCAGGGCACTTGTTTTGGGCACAGGGACTGTTCCAGACTTGGAAGACTTAGGGACCCAGAGCTGGGCCCCACCTGGAGTGGGAACCACATTCTGGAGGCTGCTGGCTGATTGCTGGAATTGTGTGTGTGTGTGGGGGGGGTGGTTCCAAGCACCCTTTATAGTAGACTGCCTTTGACAAGGGAGGCCGTGGGGTGGGCTACTGGGCTGAGGCTGATGGCTTCCACTGGCTTCTGATAAGCTCTGTCGTTTGTTTCTTGGGAGGCATCTGAAGGCAGGGCTTTGGGCCAGGACCAGCAGGAGACCCTAGTAGCAGCTGGCTGAAATTTGTCTTTCCCCTTCCTTTGCTTCTAGAGAATGTCTTCTATATATTTGCAAGTTTGGAAACATGAGGAAATGCAAAGAAAATCATAATCACCCACAGTCTCACTGTCCATGGTTGTCCCAGGAAAGTTCAACTTATTCATTCATTCATTCATTCATTCATTCATTCATTATAATGTTTTTACCATATGGCATGTATGCTCGCTGGAGAGGAGAAAGACATTGAGAGGGAAAGTAAGAAGTCACCTCTCAGGGAGGATGGCCATGCCACAATCCCTTTTCCTCCATTCTCGTGGGATTTGGGGCAGGCACACATACACACCCAATGTGATTTTCAAGGTTCCAGGTCCAGGATTTGAACCACAATCAGCTATGTGGGAGTCCAGTATCACAACCACCACCCCGCCTATTGACCCCTTCAACTTACTTTCATATACAGATTTTTTTTTAAATCAATTATCCACAAAAATAAATAAATGTTTTCCTCTTCTTAATATTGTTTTAATTAAGTCTTTACTATGACAAATGTTTTCTTTTTAAAAGCACTTTTAATTTTTTTTTTAGATACAGAAAGACTACATGTTCATTACAGAAAATAGGGAAAACTGTGAAAAACAAAACCTTCCCCCAATCCTACTAATCAGAGATAACTTTGTCAGTATTTGAGTGGTTACCCTTCTAGTGGTCACCTACAACAAGGGAATGTTATTTAACTAGCACCTCTGTGACCAGCTGAGTATAGGACAATCCTAAGGGCACCAAAGTGTCATCCCACTGTATGTTATGTGTGCACATTATTTATAAATACATACTAAGACCAGCAGGTGGTATGGTAGGTAAGGAGCTTGGATTCCTACATGGCTGACCACAGTTTGAGTCTCAGATCCCACAGCTTGAAAAACACGTTGGTTGCATGCATGCCCAAAATCCTGAGAGGAGAATGGAGGAGAAGGGGTTGCAGTGCAGCCATCTCCCCTGTGGAGTGATTTCTCACTTCCCCTCTCTCTGTTTTCAACAAGCTCACATCCTTTATGACAAAAACCTAGAAAAGTTTTATACTGGGCATTTTTTCTTTTTATTAAACCTCATAACATTCCCATGTTAAGTATTACATGGAAACATTTTACATTCTTGTGTAGTAGTCTACCACATCAGTCTGCTAGTAATCCTTTATCCCCTATCATGGAACGTTTAGGTAGATCTTTTCGATTACTGTAAATAACGCTGTGATCAACATCTTTACTCATTGTTTTTTTTTTTGTCCTACAATTCAGATTAGCTCCTTGTTGAATACTTCCTTAGAATGACTGGATAAAAGGGCAAACAAATTTTAAATCTCCTTAAACGTTTAGCCAAATTGCTGTCAGAAACGTCGGTCAATTTACCACTGCCATATCAAGGCACTTTTCACGTTGAGCAGCCGTCTTTTCCACAGGTCCCTGTGTCCCTGACAGACCGTGAGCTTTTCTGTCTCTATCACCTGATTATCAAAGCTGATCGTTGCTGAATGACTTTTGAGTCCTGCTCTGTAGTTTTAACCACCCACTTTGAAGTTTTGTAGGTGTCCTCTCTGGCCACTGCTCATGTGCCTTCAGCCAGGTCGCCATGTTTTGAAGACAGGGCTCGGGCTGCCTCTTCCCTTGGCTACATCACAGGGCATGAAGGGACCTGGGCACGCTGCTATCAAGTCTGGGGTATCGGGTATTTGACAGCACAGGAAGGCCTGGTATGAATTTCTGACCTGTTTCTCACTGAGGTGAAAGTGGTGTGGTAACAATTATTATTACTTTACTTGATATGCAAGGGCCTTGCCCCAAGTAAAGCAGATCTGGGAGTGGGAATCCAAATATCATGCCCTTCCTACCAAATTCAGTGTGTTTGGGACACGGGAATAAATGAATTCTGAAGCTTGTCAAGCTGTTTTCATTTTCCCTTTGGTACGATAGCATTGAAGTTCGGGGAAATTAGATCTAGTGACCAAAATATGGTTTCTCCCTTGTTTTGTTTTAAATCATCTGATGCTGGCTTCCATTTGCTCCTTTTTAGCAAAAGGAGGGAAATTAGGACATCAGTAATTGCACTGCTCTCCCTGGGACAGAACATTTTCATCTGCGGTGTCTTGAGCGTAACAAAAACTGGTTCAGAGCAGGGGGGTGTTGCCTTGAGTGGGCTGAAGCCCTGAGCTCTCCTGATTGCTGTAAAGGAGGGCAGGGTGTTGGACACAGCATGGTGCATCCGACCAAGGGGTGCTTTTCTATTTTACTCCAAATCCTTATCGATCTGGGATTAACTTGTGAACCTAGACGGTATCAACACACAGAAGTAAAACTAAGGAAAGTGTAAGAGAAATCAGAAGAGAACATTTGGATACTAAGAGAAGAACTTATTTGCCACCATCACTGATATATGAAAGGAAGACTGACTTGCACCCAGATTTCAGGTACCATACTGGGCACCTCATTAATACCGCTGAGAGAACCCAGCAACAAACATGCATGGGGGTAAGAGGTGGAGCCTGTAACCTGTAACCTAGGTGGTGTCCTCCAGGTCATTGCTTCTGAAGGAAGCCATTGTCATGGCATTAGCAGAGGTGGCCTTGCCACCTCTTTGGGGCATCTCCAAGTTGTTCTGTTGGCTTCTTAAAGACTTTGCTTCTCTCTTTCCATGATATTTCTGCTCTGCTCTTTGGATTTGGTTTAGCTGAGCTCTAAGGTCTCTGGCTCTAGAGCTAGCCACATGACCCTGCCAGTCAATGGGATCATTCCATACTCTAGCTATTGTTGTTGGCCCCTGACCTAATGCTACACCCTAATGCCCAGAACCCGTGAATTAGTGACCTTACATGCCAAATGCCACTTTGACAGTGTAATTAAGTTACAGATCTTAAGATGAAGAGATTGTCCTGGATTATCTGGGTGGCACTGGTATAATCACAATGTTCTTGTAAGAAGGAGGCAGAAGTGTCAGAGTCAGAGAGAGACCAGAAGATACTATACCACTGGCTTTGAAGATGGAGGAAAGGACCACAAGCCAAGAATTTAAGGTGAAACGAGAAAAGGAAAGGAAATAGGTTCTCTCCTGGAGTTTCCAGGAATGCAGCCTGGCCCACAATTTCATTCTTATTTTGCCTGGTGAAACCCATTTCAGATTTCTAGTATCTCAAACTGTAAGAGAATAAATTTACATTGTTTAAGTCACTAAGTTTGTGGTGATTTGTTACAACTATGCTTGACCCTTGGTCAAGAGGCAGGCACATGACCTAAGACAACATCCCTTCCTGGAACCCTGACCAGAGCTATTAGGAAGGATATTCTCTTTCACTAGAGTCAAGAGTTGAGAGAACATGAAGTCAACCTGGAGTTGCCATTGCAGCTTCTTTGTCACCACGTGACCAGAGCCTCCCCAAGGAGGAAGCCAGCCCCATAGGAGAGTAGAAGCAAGACACAGGGAATGGAATATTTGCAACATCCTTTGAGCACAAACATCAACCTGCTCTGCTTTATTCAGTCCAGTGAGCCAGCAAAATCCTTTCTTGCCTAAATGGGTCTGAAATGCATTTCAGTCTCTTTCAACCAAGACAGTCCTGACTAATTTATAGCAGTTAGGCTCCCTTGATCCTGGCCATTAGGATTTGGCTGGTTTGACCAACCACTGTGGTGCTATAGTCACACAATGCTCCACAAGGCTGGGAACGTCCTGGGTTTGCATCCTGAGGTCTCCCTGCGCACTCCAGGTGCACGTGTGTGTCCATGATCCTGGCTGACTGAGTCTGGGCCTAAATCTCAGCATGAGGACCTTGTTGAGGTTGTGGGTATCTTTCTGTCTCTCGCTCTCTCTCTCTGTCATGGAAGAAATAAATAAACCTTAAAAAATGAAAAAGAAAAAGAATGTAGTTTGCTTTAGTGTCCAGAAAATCATTGAAAATTAAAGATGTATTGTCAGGATCAACAGATGGCATAGTAGCTACATTGCTGGACTCCCACGGTAGTCAACTGTGGTTCAAGTCCCAGACCTGGTAGCTTAAAATTCATACCAGGCACATGTGCGTGTGCACCCAAAATCCTAAGAAGAGAATGGAAGAGAAGGAATTGTAGTGTGGCCATTCCTCCTGGGGGTGACTTTTTACTTTCTGTCTCTCTGTCTCTGTCTCTCCAGCAAGTGCACATGCCCTGCAGCAAAAATATCTCTCAAAAAAAATACAAATTATTATCCTTTGGAAATGCTCTTAGAGAGTCAGCTTTAGGTGGATTAGGACAAAGATGTTTAATTCTGAATTGGGGGTAATGACTATTCATTCAGCAAATATTTGTCAAGTGCCGTCTAGGGACTAAGCATTAGTTCAGACTGTGGAGACCGGGCAGAGAAGCTAGATGTGTTTCTTCCCTCATGGGCCTGTTGATCTACCTGGGGAGCCAGATATTATAGAAGCTTCTTTTACAATTAAAAACTAGTTAGTTGTTCTTTTTTTAATTTTTTTTTATAATCAGTACTATCAAGGAAATATCTATTAAGGAGAACCTTACCTAACCAAATCAGGATAGGGAAGAGCTTACATTCTGTTCTGAAAAGTGAAGTTTCCAGTGGAAGTTCTAGAAACTTTAATTGATTTTTGTTTGCTTGATTAATTGGTTTGATAAAGTTT